AGTCTGGGGTCAACGAAACTTCTGTATTATGTTTACATTTTTAGTGGGCAATTCCTCTCTTTCATCTATAAAGTGTGTGGAGTATTGGATACATCGAAATTTGCATTAGGATGCTTGACACCCCATTAACAAATCAATCCGTAGTATATACATTGCCAGTAGTCATATATTTGACTGTTGTTTCTAATAGAAGAGGCATGGACAATTCCTTCGAACGGCCAGGTAATGGACTTCTAAAGTTTTGAATCGTTTCAAAGATCATTTTTCGAGAGTAGATTTTAAACATAAATTTCGTTTTTAATTTATTTAATAATCTGTGTGAACAGATTATTAACACCCACAATCACTATTAAGCAATCACATCAAGAAATACAGTAAGTCACACTAAATTTATTGACCCAACCGTTCATTAATTAATAACATTAATTGATTAATGGACCAAAAGCCAAATATTAACCCATTTGAAAGCCAAATATCTGCTTAGAAGGGCTTATGGCCACAAATATCCAAGAATGCAATAACTTTTTATTGATGGCAGGTACTAAAAGGTTACAAATCAAAGGCAGAATCTTCATTCATAATAAACCCAAAATTGAAACCCAGTCCCAGAAAATGCTTGCGCCTGCTGATAAAAATGATATCAATATGAGATTACATCCTCGACTGGTTTTTTCTTAACCATTCTTAATGAAAATTGTGCAATTAATCAAAAATGTGTCAGTGTATATTTTTTATAAATTAGAAAATTAAAATTGTGCCATCGGAATTTGATCTGCGCCGGGCATACGAGAACTTATATTCTCCAGCTTTTATTATCTCTGATGTCCGCGGGTTCATGCAGACGGACAGACGGACGAATATGGCTGTATCGACTCGGCTGTTGACCGTGATCAAGAATATATATACTTTATGGGGTCGAAGATGCTTCCTTTTGCCTGTTACAAGCATTTGCAGAAATTCATTATACCCTTTCAACATATTTCAATGGGTTCAGTGCATGATAACGGTGGACAAAAGTTTTAATATGCGGATAGCTTTAATTAAATATGTTTTTCACTCGACGAACCCAAACAGCGACAAGAAAATAAGAATTACAAAACTGTGTGTTTGTATTTCGGTTTTGTTTTGTTCTTTTTTTTGTTTTTTTCTTTTTATATTACATAATCATAACTGTTGGTTACCAAGCGGAAGATTCAACTTGTTGTTTTTTGTTGATTTGGGCTCGTCTGGGAAGGGGGAGTTTTCTTTGTTTACTGTTTAGTTTACTTTAAGTGCGCTTTTACATTAAAGTCTAAAGGAAATATCTGCCTATTATATACATAAATATAATACTTGCACAAATCAAATAAAAGTATTTGAGTATTGAAATTAATCTTAAGAGCAACTAGTCAATGAAATAAGAAAACGATGAGCCAATTTTTAATGCAATTTAAGTAAAAGGATTAATTACATTTTTTTTTTTTACCCTGTATAGCAAAGACAAATAGCAAAATTTTATTATTCCTACTTACTTAAAATGGTATCTTATTATTTATTTAATTTTCGGCGTTTAATTCATTCATACAGTTTATCAAGTGCATGGCATCTTATTATTAATTACATTACAAGATATATATTTTGTCAAAGTTTCATCTCACGCTGCAAAAGGGTATTATAATAATTTGCTTATGGTTGTAATGCAGGGAGCATATCTGAAGAAATAAAGTAATATATAGAAACTATCGGTCGAAAGATGAGTTTTTGTAAGATATGTTTGGCAAAATATCTAAGCCAAAATCGCAAAAAATATACTTGTTCTTATGTTCCTCTCCTCAGAAAAAGAGTTAGGTTTGGGATGCTATGTTCACTTCGGGCTAAGAAGTCGCTTAGACTATATACCTCCCACAGTTTTTAGAGATAAAGTGACCAAATTTCAAAAATTGGTCAGCAATTTGGACAATAACTTGGCTACTTTTACCCTGTTCTTCATCACCTGTTCTCAGCTGGCATTACCTCAGCATCCTTTATATTAGAGTATTTCACTGTCGGTTACGTCCAACTGCAATGTTTTTTATTCCCTGAACAAATTAAAAATGTGTAAAAAGGGTATAATGGTTTTGTGTAAGTGTATGTAACAGGCAGAAGGAATCATCTCTTGATCGGGGTCAACAGCCGACTCGATATAGGCATGTCCGCCATATTAGAGACGCAGATATTAGAGACTTTAAGAGCTATTAACTTCAAATTTGGAATATAGGTTCTCGTATACCCGGTGCATTCAACGCTTGCTTTATTTTATCGATAACGGGCTCCGAATATCGATACATTTGAATTTCCGATAGCAGTAAATGCTACAATTTGAAAGGCAGAATCTTTTAATAAATTAAATAATGCATATGCATATTGTTGATCAACAGCCCAAATTTCATCAAGATCGGATAAGGAACGCCATATTGGTCTCATTTCTGATAAATATGGCATGATAAATATGTTTTTTGAAGTGAAATTTTCCAATAAAACAAGAATATATTTAACAACTGGGTTCAGGGTATATCGTAGTCGATCTCACTCAGAGTACTCTTGCTTGTTTTTTTTGGCGTTTTATGAGTGCATTCAGCTTGGGGGAAATCTGCTGAAATCCTTTCAGTATTCTTTCTTTCCATGCGCTGGCATTGATAATAATTTATTATGAATTTCTTTATTATTTTTGGAATGTGTGTGGCGTTGTCGTCACCAGCTTCAGATTCATTGGAGTTGCCTCTTGCACTACCCCACAACACTCCACAGTGCGCTTTCGTTCCTTCCACTCGTTCGAAGCTGTTGTTGTTCGTGTGTGTATGTGTGTGTGTGTGTGTCTGTGTGTGTGTGTGTTTGTGTGTGTGTGTGTGTGTGTGTGTGTGTGTGTGTGTGCGTGTTTGTGTGTGTGTCTGCCTACAAGGAAGTTTAAATAAACATCAAATGGCGACATGCGCATGAATAAGGCAACAGGGACGATGTCTGCATATGCAGCACACATTTACAATTTATATCACACTCACTCTGACACCCTGCCACACACACACACACACACTCGCACACTCGCACACGCACACTACATACGAAAAACAAACAAATTGACATGCCGATGCCGAAAATGCAAACAAAATGTTGCGAATAAAATGTGGGGGCGAAGGATTGATGGATGGGGAGGGATTGACACAACCAACCAAACACACATATGTATGTGAGAAGAAGTGTCTGTTTGGGTAAATATTAAATAAAAAAAAATAAAAATAAAGAATTTGTTGTTAAATTCATCGGATATGAAAATCTAATGATTTGTAAAGTCGACGATAAGCGCGAGCGCCCTCTGGCGTTGGCCATCAACAGCAAGAAAAACTGTGGCGACGCTTGGCAAAGTGTGTAAAAGGATTTGCCGCATTTATTGAAATATTAATATTTGCTTTTCGTAGCCAGACCCATGCATCTGATTGTGTGGGTGTAAAATTATTGCAAACTTTGGCATGCAAAGTTTTCACATTTATGTGTGTGTGTGTGGATGTGTGTGTGTGTGTGTTTGGGACTACCCTTAAGTTTTCGCATGTGCGATTGCCACAAATGTTTGTACAAAGTCAATTCAATGGGCTAAAAGTTTGCACCCAAAAACAAAATCAATTCAAAGTTTTGCTTTATATTTTGTACTTTATAGACGTATGTATATATATATATATATATATATATTATTTATTTTTTTTGTGGGTCAATGCTTGGGCATGCCCCACTCCTTCGCTGGCTGCCACTGCCCCAAAAATTGATAAACCATCTGGGTCCACTCTTTTTGTTTGTAAGCAGATTAACAGTCATTATGTAGTAAATTATGTAGAACACAGCTGAGATCTCAGCTCGCTGAGCGTACTATACACATTTTATTTGAGATTTATATTTATTTATGCTCTTAAGCAAAATCTTTGCTCAGATTCAAGCGTGCGGCATTAAAAAATATTTACTGTGTCTAGACTTTGCTGCGCATAAATCAAATGCATCGGCCAAAGAGTCTTGCTGCAGTTTTCGGTCAAAAAACCAGCCAACAAGGTGTCGTTTGAAACTACTCGACGAGCACATACCCTGCAAGCCAATGAAAGTCTTTTTTATAACTAGAAGCAGTGTCTGAAGCGACTTAATATATTTTACAGATGGGTTCAAAGTACCTCCAATTCCTTTAAAATAGACTATGGATTCTTAAAAAGCATTCAATTTAACTAACTGTATGTTTTGCTGCTTCTTTATTATTGAGTAAAGTAATTGACTAAAGTAAAAGTATATAAAATGTATGAAAACTATGTTTCTTATATTCCAAATGCTGCATTTATACAATATACTCCCCTTCATTCATTCTGATACAAAACAGAGTATGCGCATATAAAAATAAATAAAACTGTTGCCATAATGTAGTTCTCGTTGTGTGTGTGCGTGTGTAATTGTGTATGCGACTGCGTTGCGTATACTTAATGTGCAGAGTGTGCAGCGTTGAGTTCAACAAAAGTGCCAAAATGTGCACAGATTCTCTGTGTGTGTTGGTATTATATAAATTTTATTTATACGCCTTAGAGTCGAAGTTTTTAGTCGGTTGCTTCAGGATATTGCTCACCACAAAGCACGGCAAATGTATTTAAGAGTCTAGAGTAAAGAAAAACAGGAAATTTCAATTAGTTTGCTCATGTGCTGAACATTGAATATAATTTAGGTCTTTCTATCGATTTGCAAAACTTTAAAACGTCTTTTGTGGAAGCACAATAATTTAACTAGATAATTCTATTTTTGTTATAATTGTTTCAAAGCTGCACCGATGCATATTAAGATAGATATTTTCACAAGTACGAATTATGAGATGAATAGAGATACCGTGATTTAAAACTGAAGTAGACCCAAATCTAAGAGGATCTGGTCTTTGTCTACTGATGAACTCATAAATACTCTTTAGATCAACTAGATACCTTTCAACACTATTCAACACGTCGCCCATTAACTTTAAACATGGTCGGTTGGATACCAAACATTTCTTAAACCTGTGTACATCACCATATCTGATAATTTGATAAAAAAAATATAATTATTCATGAATTAAAATATCTCAGTCGCCGCGTCTCAAACCGCTGGGATCTACAACAAATCGTATACCAAATGCAAAACGATTTATGGGCAGATTCATCACCACACTGAAACCCACTTGCAGAGGTATGTGCGAGAGATATCTGTAAAATGCAAGCATTATGTGGATATATAATATATATATATAATTATAATTTCGATTCGGCACTACGCACTTGGTCCACATGAAGCCAACGAGGGCATCCGAGTCGATCATGCCATTCACGGCACAATTCGTAAAATTCCACTGATAGCAAATGGTGGCAATGGTTTTTCGCGTACTACGATTCCAGGCCAACAAATTGGCCATCTGGATTTGTGGATGAATGCGCTGCCAGTAGCTAACATCCAGTCCCTTAAGTGAGGCGGTTGCCGCAAGCGAATAATGATGATGCGAGTAGCTGAAACCGAGAGAGATTTAAAACATATATTTCAGTTTGTGTGACTTCGCTTTGTAAGTAAAAGACCGTGAAACCATTCTAAAGTAGGATTGATAATAGATCTATCGGATTACTGCGAAGCACTTACCGTGCGGCAAGGGCCAAGTTCTTCATGAGATTATTTGGCCCATTCCACTCTAGCAGTAGTTCGCCACCGATTGCCCAGTGCTGGGTAATGGATCGCATTACCGACAAAGTGGAACGTCCACTGTCGCTGCGCACATTATATAGGTTGGCTGTCCATGTATCGCTCGGACGGGTCCATTCAATTGTATATTGCGTTTCCACGAGCCCATTGTCACCGGGCTTCTGTAGGACTGCCTCGAGGCGTAGCGGCTTAAATGGATAATACAGTATATTCAAATTGGCTGCCAATGTCGTTGGATGTATATCGCCGATAATGGTTGGAGTCAGCTGAAAGTCCAAATGAAAATGATTAATTAATTAAGTTACATGAAATGATTTAAAAAAGCAAGCGCCAAACTATGGCTAATTAAATATTAAAATACTTATTTTTAATTTTTGACTTTTCATTCCTAAGCAAGCTATTTTTTTAAGGTCAATTCCATTGACTCACCATGAAATCATCCATCATGTGAAACGTGTATAGACCCCCGAAGCGAAAGCCGGATGCTTTCACATGACTCAATACCCAAGCGGCCGAGATGAATTTGTTGGGAGCCAATCGATGATAATAATCGAGTTCGACACCATCGTAGAACTTGGGCATCACATTGTGGGCGAGACTGTGAAGGGTCTGTACATTGCCGGGATTCTTCTTATTGGATGTGCCCTCATAACGCTCGAAACACGATGGAAACTTATAGCCACCGAATGGTGGACAGGAATTGCAGGACATGCCCACACAAACAGCAAACTTTCCAAACTAGTATACGTATAGAAATAGCTTCAAAATTGTTCAGAATTGGGAAATTTTGGGGCTTTGTTTTGTATTGTGGAAAATTTGTAGTGTATTCAGTATAGACATCCACACTTAATAAACAGCAAAAGAAAGGTTACATAGATCTCAGTTTCTCGTTACGACTGAACAGCCCTACAAATGTTTGTCTGTGCACATATATTTCTCTTTTGCTATATATATATGTATGTTTAGCATCAAAAATGTATGTGAGACTCCAGCATCAGCTGACAATTGTCATTTTATGCGCCATTTCATGCAACGCCAAACCAACTGCCTGTCATCACCAACTTTCCTTCTCTCACTCCCTTTCCTCTGAGTGTGTGTACGTGTGTGTGTGTATGTGTGTGAGTGTTGTGTGTGTGTGTTTGGGTCTCTGGCCAAACTGTCATCCCTTTCGCCCTTTGGCACGCCATTAGGCGCATTTCACACTTTTTACATTATTTATAAGACATGCAATTTTACTGGATACTTTGTTACGAGTCCAATACCCTAACCGCAGCTATAATGATTTTGTGATGAGTTACGTAAAGAACTAGACGGATCAGTTTTATATATCACGTGAGTGATTCTAAGAATATTAAAAAATGTGTTATCTAAATAAAAGCTTATCTGATAATCTACTTCATTAGATTGGTCCGATGGAATAGGACGATATAGCTCTCAGAAGAACCTTTAATTGGAATGCTGAGTTTTTGTATAAATAAATTTATCTGGCTTTATTAACTGAACTCAGTTTTTGGCTTAGTTGAACTTAATTCAATATTATAGTATTTAGGCGTAGAACAAAATTAATTATGTAAAAAATATTATGTTTGGTGACTTCCTTTTATAATTTAAATATGTTTTTCGCTGGAACAAAAATAATAATATAATATATGAAATAAAATAATTTGAAAATTGCTTCAATCCGATTGTAAAAATCGAATACAAATATCGATTAGTCAGCACATTATAATTAAGTGTATTCGAAAGTCGACCAAACCGCAATAGAGAAATGTCCCTTTGAATTTGTCTTCGCCAGTGGAAGGAACTCTTCTCATTGGCGATTCGGATTTTCATGAAATATTTAAAGCTTGCCACGAGTCTGGCTGATTTAGTTTCCAGTTGGCTGTTAAAGGATCAACGACAGGGGTATGCCCCCTCCTTAAGCATAATAATGTACGGCAAATGGAGCTTGAATAGTTTTCTTCTCTTCTTTTTTTTCTTTAGCGCGATTATGTTGTTTGGTTTTGCCTGGTGAACAATTTGTCCAGTGGAAGCAGATTTTGAAAGCATTGTTAAATTTATTGACCTATCAAAATGTGGCATGATGCCAGCTATAAAATATGATCTAGTTGAGGGAGCACAAAGCATGGTAATTTTAAGGCATATTTCAATAATAATCACATTTATGCACAAAAAAATTTACCTCATTTTTATTAATATTATTAAAATCTTTTCGACAACTTAACAGAATCCATTTTCCTATAGGCCAATGAGTGCTGATATTTCTCGCCAGCTGCGCATAGATTTGTATATTTTGCATCGCGATATCGGCACCTGATTCCGGGTCTAAGGCCCCATCTGTACAGCCGCTTACCCTCCTCGTTGTCGGTGCCAAATGCACAGCTCAGAGTGAGATATCTGTATAATCCACTCGCATAGCGCAGCACAGCGCAGCCAAACTGCGAATTATGCTCGATTAGCAGCAAAGTTGTTGAGAAAATAATTTCGCTAAAAATAAGAAAAAAAATGTAACTTTAAAAATGACAATATAATGTAGCGTTTGGCTCAGATATCGAAACTCATTTTGTTAAAAATCTTTTTCTCAGAATATTTTAACTAAAATACGCTTAACAAAACGGGAGACTGAAGAAAGAAAATAATATTTAATTTCTCGCTCAGAAATCAACACTCACTATTACCGCTGCTTAGTGCTATTACTCAATTTATTCATTACTAGTTCACTTTCTTTTGTGTTTTATCAACAGGTTTTGTCTATTTCTCAGTTAATGATTTATTACATTTTCCATAGACTTTTCTTTGCACTGAAAAAAGTAAAGAAATACTTCCTCAACTTGAAAAGTATATATATTTTTTCTTTCTTTTAACTGTATCTTTTTAGTTACAAACGTTCATTCACAGTCGTACTTAATTCGGCGATAATCTGCGATAGGATCAAATATGTTAAGCCGAGCAATTGATTTGCGGCTTCAGCTTAACTAAAAAAATCATGCAGATAGATTATGTAAAATAGTGTTGTACTTACTCATGCCATCTATCTTTCACCTGTTACTTACTTTACTTCATCTTTGGGGGGCAGATGGCGCCTGTTGGATGGCGTAATGCTGCGAACCTCAGACATCCAGCTACTGGTTATGCGCCGTATGGTGGTATGTATAGACAAGGTAGAATTGTCATTTGGATAGCCGTATATATCAGCTAGACTGCCAACGCGATAGAAGTCCGGTGAGCACATGCACGGCCGAGGCAATAAAGTGCATCGTCTCACATCCAGTCGGGCGAAATACGCCAGTTCGCTGTTCCACGACATTTTGACCATCTGCGCAGCTGGCCGCAAATTTCTATAGACTTTGCCACTGGCCACATTATTGCGTAGCGTATTGAAAATATTCTCGATAAGGTCTTTGTACTCGTCCTCCCTTAGCAGTTTGGTTTGTCGGAAGCAATCCTTGAGTGACTGTTTTCATTATAAATAATTGGCTTAAGGTCTCTGCCAGATACGACTCGAAACTCACGACATTATTTTTACAGGCCAAATTCGTGGCATAGCAAGGACTCATATCGCAATACCGATCGTCACTTTTCCTTGTATCCAGACACTTTAGACACAACACGAAGCCCAGCAGAAACAGCAGCAGCAACTGGTTAGCTTCCATCGCCAGACTTAATCATATTACTTGTACACCTAACCAGGCCTGGTATTTATACTCGATATAGTACGAGTTCTTATGAATGGCGGATGGCGAAGCAGCTGCTTTTGTTGATATGTATAAATAAGACACAGATATATCGCTTTTTCAACATAACATTCAAACCTCAGCTCTCAAATATCATTAGAAAACACAAGAAATAATCAGAGCTAAGCAAAATAATTAGGAAAAACTTTTAGTAAAACCTTTTCAAATACAACTCAACGAAGAAAGCGAAATAGAAAATATTAAAATTTATAATTATTAAAATTTATTATTAATTATAATTCGCCTTCAGGAATAAATAAGGAATAGTTTTATATATAAAAAAATTATATTTAATTTATTTATCAATTTATTCAGAATTATGAGAACATATAAAATAATAATGATGCCTAAGAAATACAGCAAATAGTTCAAAAATCTACTAATGCGTCCTCTCATTGAGTGATATAGTGCAAATGCCGTTTGTTAGGGCACATTGTCAATGGCAATGGTCGCCGCCTCTTGGCAGTCTAAGCCGCTTTCCAGTTAAGTTCATGAAAGCAAATGCAAAACTTGTTTATTCAGCAGCTAAGTCGCGGCTTGGTCTAAAGTATTATTTGTACTTTGTTGCACGAACAAAAGGCCAGTAGGAAGAGAGCGAGAGAGAGAATGGGGAATGGCATGTTGGACCAGTCATACATTACCTATTTAGACATCGCACTTAAATTTGTCACTCGAATGGGAAGCAGCTTTGATGAGGCTACGCCTTTGGCCGGCGCTGAGGATTCGGCTTCCATTTTGCTGCCATTCGCTCTCATTTAATATGCTAAAATATTGCAAGACGCATCCGCAAGTGCTAAGTCAAAGCACGGCGACCACAAAATGTTTGCCAACCGCAAAAGCGCGAACCGGATATAGAAATTGAGAGAGGGAGAGAGAGAGATAGAGTTGAATCTGGAAATGGTAATGGTAATGGTAATGGAATAGAGAATGGGGCAGCTAAGTAGACAGACCAACAGACAGCATTATAATCCTAAGTAAATAAGGCAGCACACAAATTTCAAGAGGTAGTTACTTTTGTTTTCTCAAAATGTAATTAAATTACGTAAAAGTTGAAAAGCTAGCGACTTTAAGATACGCTGTAGTTTATATGCTTTTACGGGATTATTTGATAGTCAATGAATAACATAAATAATTGAGTTTTGCCATTTTCAGAAATGTAAAAAGCAGCCTCAAAGCAAAAAACATTCTTAACTTATGAGCTTTTTCAATGGGTGTAGCAAAAGCGCCCACGAGTGTCAGTTTATTCAAATGCATATAAATTAAAATTGAAATATAAATGATAGTTCAGACAAAAAAAATAAAAATAAATACAAAATGTTGCAACTTTTTAAATTGTACAACATTTCTCATATGCACAACAGCTCATAAAAAATGCAACAAGAAATTCTCAAAAAAAAAGATAACAAATAATAATAATAATAATAAAATGCGAGCTGAAAACAAATTCAATCGCATTGCAGTCCACAGAAATGTATTTATTTATTTGTGTTTGTATTTTATTTATTTGCAACTTGTTCGCTTGTGTTAAATGCTTACTGCAAGCGTGTTTATTTTTTAAATTGCTCATCTTTTTTTTACGCATTCGGCATATAATTTAATTTTATTTACTACGCAAAAAAAAACATGGTCCACAATGTAGGCGCACGTAATAAATTTTCAATATTTTATACACATTTTTTTTTCTTTTCGCCTTTTTCCATTACGCGCATTTGCATTGATCAATTTTTTATTGCACATGCATCGTTGGCAACGGGGAGGGGTGTGGCAGTTGCCACACTTGCAAATTCGTTATCAATAAAAGTTATTTGTGTGCCACGTAATCTTGTTGCGGGCAGCTCGAGGGGAAATTACTATATGAAATAAGTAAAACAGACATCGCATTCTGCTACAAAACTGTAAAATAATAAATTAACATTATTTTATTTTTTGTTGTGGGTATATTAATTTTGTAGTGAAGTTTGACACGCATTGATTGCGTCAAAACCATCAAGTTTAAAGCACAACTGCCGATTAACTTCTGTATTTTTTGATGTGAACAAAACTGACTTTGTTTTAAAGGTCTCCCACTTGTTATATATTTAACTTTTTGCGTCAATCACTACCAAAAAGCCATCAATCGGTTCGGAAGATGAGATCCATAGATATAAATGTGACCCTTTCTGATATCGGACTGTTTGTCGTTCTATTAAATAGGAGATCGTAGAGTATGTAATTAGTCAGAGAATTTTAAAGTGCGTTAATATTTTGTAGACGGTTTTACACTAATGAGGATTGCAGAAAATCCAAACAGTGTTCTTCATATTCATACATCCTTGATGTTGTAAATTGTGTACAGCATATATTGACTTAATAAAAGATGTACCTCATATATTTCATATTTTTAAACTTGAATTGTTATGCAATACCACTCAACGGAATAGATTCGACACTTCAGCAATAATTAAATGTTTATATTTTTCCAACTTGAAGCTAATCTGATGAGTCAAAAAGATATGCATCATGTTTAGCGAATATAACCATAAAAGCAAAATTCGAATTTTCACGTAAAAGAATAAAGGTTTAAAGACATAAAGCTGAGACATAAGATTGCATATAGAAGCAATATTCGATAGCTTTAAAATGGAACAAATATTCATCTTGCTCATTCACTTATCTTTGTGGAAATGAACGAACTTTGTTATATAAATATTTAAAATGCAAGCTTATATTTATTTAATGCGATTTTAATGTAAACTTTTTCGTATTTAATTACTTTGCTATCTCTTATAGAATATTTGTAGACTCATACCATTCACATTCGCTAAAAAATAAGAAAGTTTCTGTTGCATATGCCATTTGAAACTGTAAATTACTTACACTCCACTGTAAATTACTTACACTCGAATGTAAACATATCTGGGAAAGCACTCGCATGCTTTTGCTCTTACTTCTGCTCCATTAAATATTTACAAAAAAGGGGCGACAAATCAAAGTGACTTCAGTGCAGATTGACAAACTAAGGCCCCGAGGCACTTTTACTGAATTTCGCCTTTCACAAATATTTGCATACCGCCACCGTTGCTTCAGTGTCGCAATGCCTGAATGACTGACTGGCTGACAACTGAAAGAGTTTTCAGTGCCAGTTGGCACTTAGGCACGATTTGCATTACTAACGGCCATTGATAAAGCAGAGATTGTAGATCGACAATTTCCATTCCATCATGCCATCATTGGGCCAAGTAGTAGCTATTGCCAAAGTCTCTTCAAATGGGTTGCCCATCCATTATTTTGTAATTATTTAAGTGCCATTCGTTTGCCAGGTGGTGGTGGGAGTAATGTGGGCGTGGCCCACACCCACCCACATTGAAAGGGTCTAAGCCGGGGCCAATAAGTGAAAAAATCAAAAAGCCATAAAAACTTTACACAATCGGAACGTGCGAAAGTTGCTTTTTGCCAACGCCAGCAGCAGAAAATCATGGAAACCATTTTACATTAAGCTTTGCCGACAGTCAAATACTCTTTAGGCAAAAAATGGGACAGCAAACAAAAATTAAAATCTTTTTCGGTTGAAATCTTTACCTTATAAGGAAGAAAAGTTGAGAATTTATTGCTTTAATCCTGACAGATAAAAGTTATCCTGTTGAAACTCTATTCAAATCGATAATATATAAGTAAATTAAGAAAATTGAAAACTGATTGCATTCAGCCTGACAGACAAAATCCATAGACTTCCGTTCGATAATATATATAGTACTATTATTAATTATTTTGCACATTTAATCGACCAGCTAAAATACTCTCCACAAAAGGGCACACAAAAAATGGCAGACAACAAAATCAAAGTGCGGCATGTGAACTTTTCCTTTTGCTTTCGATTCGTTTCTTTTCTTTTATCTTCTACTACGATACTACTAAGCGAAAATCAACTCGTAAAAAAAGGGAGCGTTGCAAATAAAAAAAGCGCAAGAAAATTACTTTCCGCTCTACAAATTTTGCCGAGGCTTCTTCTCTGTTCGGAGTCAAGCGTGTAAAGTAAGTAAAGTTGCGAATAAAAACCTTTTCCGGCTTTTCGTCTTCGATGACGGCCTTTGAGGCATTATGTACTGACAATTTTCATGATTATGCTGCTTATGCCACGAGTGTCCGTCCAGTTGCAACACTCCCCAAACCACCCGCCCTTACCCACCAGATGGCAGCTCTTTCAGGCGTCTAAACGCAGCTGTTAAGCCTTTTCCGTTTCCGTTTGCCTTTTTTATGTGTGTGAATGTGTATATGTTTATGTGAGTGTGCGGCTTACTTGGACTTGGCGCCTAGAGGGTCGACTTCTATTGATAGCCCATTGACAGCAGCACAAAATCCCCCAACACACACACACACACACACACCCACAATGCGGCTTGGGGCCACCAAAACGGAAATGAACATGGGATTTCATTCAATTTTTATTCCTACATGCTTAACACTGTGTGTGCACAATAGCGTATTTTCTGTTGCTTTTTGCCTAGGGACCAACTTATTTTCCTCACTTTTTTTTGGTTGTCGGTTGTATCAAGGTGTGACACATTGTTAACTATTGCTATTGCTCGCAGTTTGGCAATTTTCTGGTAATTACTGGTTGGTGTCTGAATGCTGTCTGTATGCTGTTCAGATATTAAATGGTCCAATAAAAGGAAATGTAGCTTAAAGGCAAAGCTTTTAGAATTAGGCCCAGTGAAAGTTATTGGATGTAACTAAAAGCTTCTAAGGTTATCTAAATGGTTACTATAATATATACTTACTTCGGGTTTAGCAATCGTCAATTAATTGTAACTAAACCATTTTGTTTTATGAATTTTATATCCCTTACTTACACTTAAGATTTTTAGCTTATTACTCCCATTTGATTTTATATAATTTCATTTGTAACTTTAATTTTAAACTTTTTTTTGTATAGTCTTCTTACGAAATTGTTGATGGCTTTGAGTCCGCATTAAATAAATAAATATTTAAGAAATAAATCTTTTTTTTTCATTATTTTTTTCGGAGGAAAATAGGGAACTTCAATTAATTTAAAATCAATTTCGTGTTAAATTTATAGACTATTTGATACAAAATCTATTTATAGGGAAAAGCACGGCCGTTAAACATTAGTTTTAGAAGAAATGTACTTGAAAAATATGCAAATTGAACACAGAGGTTATTGTCCATAGAGATCTATGAAGAAAAAGATATACTAGCTTAAAACAAAACTGGAATATTATGAGGGATCTGGCTTAAGCACAAATGTTCAAGTACCTAACTAAACAGCTTCAAGAACAAATGATGATGGCTCTAAAAATTAATGATCATTCGCTAAAATTGTAACTAACTGGCTACAAATTAGCAACACTTCCCCACCGCCCCTCGTTGCTGCTGGATCATAACGAGTGATAAGGAGAAATGAAATTAAGATGCCGCAAGTGCTTATTTCATTAATTTGGGAAATACGAACCGAAAGCGCCACATCAAATTGTCATAACTGGCAACTTATTGTGACACTTGCAATAAACAGAGAAAAGCAAAACTGGCAGCTGTGCTTTCCAAACAGTCTGTGTGTGTATGTGTGTGTGTGTGCTTGTGTGTGAATATTGAAGTTCGACTATTTCCAGTTAATTTACTGCGAACACAAAGCGCCCAATATGCAACATAAATAATGTTGAGCATTTGACATAAATAACTAAGGATGGCACACTTGCCAATGCTCCAATACACCCTCCAACCTCCAACCTCCTCCACCCGCTTTTGACACGCCCCATTCAGGAGTAGCTAGCACAGCTGCTGTTGCCGCCGCTGTCGCTGCCTGCAAAACGCTCTGTAACTGTTACAATTAATTAGAAACTAACAAAGTTCCACTTGCCAAGGCGCTAAACTTGTCCCAGCACCAGAACCGAAGACTGTCGCGCACATAAAGCGCTTTTAATTGATTTTTCCGTTACGTGCAATGGCAAATGGCAAATTGTCGTCCTGTGGCAGCCAACTTCGGTCAGCGCCAGCTCGGAGAGTGACACTACCTTGCTGTCGTGACACGCCAACTCACGAATTCACCCATCTGGAGAACAACACAACTGTGTTTTATTTATAAGCTATTTTTCATTTTTATTTCCATTTTTAATTTTCACTTTCCTAAGAACAACTTTTTTGTATATAATCCGACTGAATAAAGATATATATTTGTGTTTATATTATATTTGGTGTCACCTCTAGCCCGTGTCCAACAGCTGCTGCTTTCTTAGCCACTTCTCCCCCGTCTCAGTCACAGTCACAGCCCCCTTCAGTGGCACAGTGGGACTAGTGAGACTGGCAGCTTCTGTAATCGTTCATTCATTCATTCGAATTGTAGTTAATTAATAAATTATTCCATGCGATTGAGCTAACAATGGAAAACTTCAGCTACGTCTGTCGTATCTGGCAACTGGACTTTAATTAGCCCCTCCTGCCACCCTCTATGCTTCTTCTCCTGTGCACCCCTTCCACATTTTGCAGCTTTGTATCTTTTAGCAGCCACACTCGTATAAATTACCATTTTTTGCAATTAAACACATTTTGCTGTTAAATGTGAGAACGAAAATGTTTACGGCCAGCACATGTTGCGTATACGCAATGTGCTAAGCTCGACACTCGTAAATGGAGCGTGCTCGCGTATTCCTTACACTGTGCTTAAGAGATATAAATCGGAGCATTAACATCGTGCCCCTCTCTCTCTCTCTCTCTCACTCTATTTTAGTAGAACTCTGCTCTGTCCTGTTCCGCCCAATAAATTACATTTTCGTTTTATTTTACGTCCACTCTTGGCTTAGGGGACACTGACTCCCCCCACAACGCCCTCTCTTTCTGAATCTCTGCCTCTCTCTCTGCGTGGATCAGGTGTGCCGCACATATTGGGAATTTATTAAAAGCGTAAAATAGCTTCTCGAATTTTTCGCGATTTTGTGGCCCTGTTGAAATTAATTTTGTGGCTTGCAAATGTTGATGGAAGAAATTAAATGCAGAAATAATGCTTTTGTACAAAAATTAAATGGCCAGAGCAGAAATGCTTTATTTTACTGATGCTTTAATGGCTGCTTGTAAAATGTTCAATTTGTAATCAACAAATCCGACTAAGGTTGACCATAAAGGTCATGATAACAAATTATATGATTACATTTAATTTGGCATAACTTGTAGTGTATCTGATTTCAAAAGGCCTAAGTGGGCTATTTAATTGCAGGTAATTTGATACAACTTGAATATTGAATATTTTCATAGGTTTTCGACCTCTTAACACTCATCTCGGCAAGCAAAAGTCAAGCATAAATGAATTATAAATAAATTGTCATTCCATAGGCTTTAAAGGTCCACGCAACTAACTAATGCAAAAACAAAAATATAAATATACAACTATATAAGACATATTGCACAACAGTAAAGCACTCAGTGCGCACAAATTGCATAATACCAAAAGGCACCCAAATGAAAAATACAATTTTCATAAAAAATAATTGAATAATCAACCGCATACTGAAAATAAAATAGCAACAAGCAAAACGAAACAGAAATACAGGCGATTTCATTGCTCGAAAACCGGAGACGAAGTAAAAGGCATTAGCAGCAGATTAGTGTCCAATTCTGAAGTATCTTGGTGCATCGTACAGTATCCTTGCCACACAACTGACTGCATTCCCTTGCAACATCTTGCACTGCATGCTATTTGCTCTGGGACTCGGAGCCTAGAGTCATTAGCAATGTGACCCAGAAATGAACTGAGCCACATAAAATTTTATGCTGTTTGCCCTAATAAATTTAATTAAAAAATCAAATTGACTGAAAGAGCCGACCGAAAAGTCGACTAGACTGTAGTCACAGACACACACGAACATTTTTTCGAGTCTGTCCAGCTTGGAGTGTGTGTGTGTGTGTGCTCTAATGTCCTACAGACACTCATTTCAACTATCTGATTTCATTGCAGTGCATTTTATGCATAGTTGAAATCAAAAATTCACGCCCAAGAAAATTACAAAAAAACAACAAAAATAAAGCAGAAAAAAACGAAAAGGTTTTCAATTAATTTTTCAATCGCGTTTCTTTGCACGAGCCATAAAAATCAATTGCTAAACCCTTTTTCACTTTTTTTTTTGCTATTTTCTTCTTCGACTTTTATGAGCGAGTTACTTGCAGTTAATTAGAGAATAAAAAGTGCACGGCTAATCAACTGAAAGTTGTTCAACTCGCAACGTGCTGTCGATAAGCCAAAGTGAAGCGGAAATGAGAAAAAAAAACGTATAAGAAGAAGAAGAAGAAGAAGAGAAGTCATTGAGGGAGATAATCCCAAATGATTGCCTAGATGATGGCCTTTGTGCTCTTTACGAGGGTTGACCAGACTCCAACACTTCCGGTAAAAGGCAATCGATTAAGTAAAAGTGTGAAAATTAACTCTTGACGTTTCATTTCTTAAAGCACTCGTCAACGGTAAAATCTTATGCACTTAGCTTAAATATACTTGTGGAAACTTCTATGTATATATTATAGTATATTGTAGTTAATATTGTCAAACTGGATTTAGAAGGAAGTTCGCATCTTTTCCAAAAAGTTGTCAATGAATTCAATATCCTTGCAATTGAGACGCTTCGCTTGATAAACGCAATCCTCAAAGTTTTTCTCATCATTGAGGCGCTTATAGGCGCCAGCACGATAAAGCCAAGCGCGTACATATTTCGGATCCAATACCCTTAATATATAGTCACAGTCGATGATGGCGATCTTAAAGTTGCGCAGCCTGAAAACAAAAGAAATTGCTTAACTCAGGCTTGCCTTAAAATCGATTCACAAACTTGATATTGCAGCAGGCGCGATTGATATATAGAACGGGTGTATTGTTAATATATTCCAAGCCTTTGGTGTACATCTCGATTGCATTCTTGAACTGATTCCTGCGATAGGCTGCATTGCCAAGTCTGAAATAAGATAAAGTGCTGTAGCCAAGCGTGACCGACTAGGAAATACCATGATTTCATTAGCAGACTTGCTGAGTGTAGTATATTTTACTTAATAATAATAATTCGCATTTCCATTCCGATTTTAATAAAGATTTTACAGCTGATCAATAAGATTAACATAATATATATCAGTTTGAAATTTAAATTTTTACATTGTCGAAATTGTATAAAAGAAATTATTTTAAAATGTCGCGGCTTGTTCATGCAGAGAGACAAGCAGATATGACGAATTACGACTTCCATTTGTAATGGTTTCAGGGTTAAAGAAGTGAGAACGTTGTAGTTGGAAGTAATCTAATGCGAAATACTCTCATGTAATAATATCAGGAACAATAATACAAAAAACAGGGAAAGCGTGGTCACGAAATTTACCAATTTTGGAAGGAGGTTTAAGTAATCTACCTAACAAGTTTGGTAATTTTAAGCTCTACAATTTCGGGAGATATTGGCTTATCCGATTTTTGGAGGCGTGGCCATACAACTTTCTACCAATTCTTTCTTATATATTCGGTATCACATGTATATGGTATTAATAACATTTAACTTCAAGATACTCTGGGGTCGGAAATCGATATTTATCGATATTTTGTAATTTGAATAAGTTGATCAAAACAAAAAGCCTAGTCTCTGAGATCGACAGACTGAACAGATGGTCGGCAATAAATAAAAATATCAAATAATATAATATCAAATATATCTATATGGCTCTATCGGAAGATCTGTTCTTCTGCATTTTGAACAGTGCTTCGCATTGAATAAAGTATTCAGTTAATTTGTATCTAGCGAATGCTTTAACCAACCTGCGAAAATTGTTTGCGACTCGTTCGCGTTCAATGCGCGTCTTAACACGTTCCTCATCGCTCTGATCGAGTTGGCGCATGAATGTGAACTGATTGGTGTTCGATTTGACCTTGATCTTGGATTTCCTGAACGATGTTGAACCTACAGATAGCGATCGAGTCGTGATAAAATAATTGTCATCTGTAACGTCCGCACTGATGTCCACAGTCGGTTTCGCCTCCTTTTTTTTGCCGTCTCGTTTACCCCTAGAAAAGTGGACATGAATTTTCATAGACTGTGGGTTGCGCGGTCTCACTCCGACCTACTCATCCATTTTGTTGGCAGTAGCCATCATTTGCAGAAATTCCATGGCCTCGACCACCTTCGAGGGTTGCTTAAGAAATTGCTCATCATATTGCGGATGATGATTTGGGTTTGAGTCCATATTGTTGGTTTGCCCAGTTTTGGTTGTTGTTTTTAGTATATTTTTATATTTTGGAGAGTAGAGTTGTATAGATTGTTGTAATCGATGTGATGTGTTTTTTTTGTATAGTCTACTATATTCTAAATTCATATTAACTATGTTTTTCACAAGGTTACTTTTCTAAAAATGCACTTTTTTTTAGTTTACTTGATAATGGCAAAGAATATTTATATTGAACTGATGCAATTATTGTACTTTTTATATAGTACAAATTAAAATAACATTTCTATACACTCTGTTCAATTATTAACAAATATATATTATTATTTTCAATAACATTTTTTGGTCTCTATATCTCCATTATGATCAAAAGAGGAATAAAAACAATTTGTGCCATTTATATATTTAACACAGATAATTTAACTAAGGTAAATAATATTGAGTAAAAAATTCTATTGGAGTTTATCAGATTTATGCAGAAAGTATAATTAAAATCATGTTTAATCAAAACAATTTTTGCCATTTAATTATTTAACATAGATAATTTAACTAAGGTAAATAATATTGAGTAAAAATTTTATTGGAGCTTGTCAGATTTATGCAGAAAGTATAATTAAAATCATGTATAATAAAAACAATTTTTGCCATTTAATTATTTGACATAGATAATTTAACTAAGGTAAATAATATTGAGTAAAAAATTATATTGGAGCTTATCAGATTTATGCAGAAAGTATAATTAAAATCATTTTTGTTGCTGATCAATGCTATTTTCAATTAAACTTGATCAATTTGGCCTATGTTTTATAATTCTTCAATTGAATATCTCTTTAGCAGATTAATTTGCAATCATGAAACAGATGCGGTCTCCTTTTTGGTGCGAGTGATTTTTAATTTGAATTTAAAATGCATCAGTGCGCTGATTTTAATGCACACGATTAAAACAGCAAGTCAGGAAATTGCAAATTCATTTAAAATCCCAGAGAAAATCAGATGAGCGAAATCAATGAGCGATTTCAAATTGCAAATGACAAATTGTGGTGCCAGTCAACAAAAACGATGGCAATAGCAATAGCAACAACAAGAATACCAATACAAATTGTGCGAATTGCAAATATAAGAAACTCTGACGTCACAAACTAATGTGTACTTGTCAACAAGGGACACAAACCCCATACATAGATACATGCATGCAAATGTATGTGAGATGGCTGATGCTTAAAAGTTTTACACGCTAATCGCTAATTGCTTTCAAAGACTGTGTGTAGGGGTCGCGGATGCTGTTGTTTGGGTGGGGAGTGGTGACAATTTCACAGAGGCGTTGAGTATAGAGGGGACGGGTCGTACAGTTGTCACTGTAATTGTCGCTCTTTAAAGTGCGCAATTTGCAATGCAAATGTACGCATTAGTTTTTAGCGAGCACAGCAAACACCCAACTGATGGCGCCAGCTCGCGCAAAAATACTTTTACATCCCTGAGGGGATGAGCGGATCGAATGGTGGCAGCTTTTGCAAAGTGTTTGCCAACAGCTTAGCGAGCAATCAATTAAAATGTTTTATTGGCACTTTTCGCACCGCTAAAAGACAACACACACACAGCACTAAAATCCAGTTTGCAATTTTCGTGCCTGTTTTTTCCAATGGTTGTTGTCACACATTTCATGTTGACTGCACATTTCAGTTCTGTGTAAGGCTGATATTGGTGCACATGTGAAGAATGTGCTTACTTTTCATGCCTTTCGCACATTTATTTCGCTATTTCAACGTTCGTCTGTGCTTTCCATTTAGTAGTACAAGTTTTAGTCATCTGTTAAGATTGTCTTAACATTTATCTTCACTGGCTTGTTAAGTATACATCTAAGCTGAATTTAAGAACTAAAGTTTTACTCTTCAAAATCAGGACCTATTTGGGTCTATGGGTTGCGCATTAATAGACATTAACTCTATCCAAGCTAATCTTAACACCATCATGCGTAAAATCGTTAAGTAGCGGAGATAATCCGTGATAACCATGATAATCCACCTGACAGAACCTTTTGAAGTCGGTGGCTGACGGGATATTTTGTGGTCCAGCACCAGTTAAGAACTCTTCAAAATAAAGTTAAGTTCACCAGCCATTTATTCATACCGGATTCTACCAACGACTATAAACTAAAAAAAGATTTTGCATTGCTTAGAAATAGTTTTTCGTTTTCATTTAAAGATTTTATACCTAATTAAAGTTAATCGCTCCATTTATTTTGTCAAAATAAATAGATTAAAATGACTTAGATGAGTCGGCTGATATCACAAAATAAAACATAGATTTTTTAAAAATTTCCTGCTGGGTAACACAACAACAACAATAAGAAAATCAAACAAACAAATTGTCGCACAAAGTAAATGCAGCAATTAGTTGACTTAACTTCTGTGACACACAATTGGCAATTTATTAAGGCGCAAGAGAAGCATAGCGGCAAGAAAATTGAGTGTCCTTGCCAAAAAGGGATTTATGTATGGTTCATAGATTAAATACTAATTAACACTACGCAACACTAGCAAAGGCCAAACACACACACAAAGTAAAGCATTTGATTTATGCCAAATGAATGCTCAGACTCTCTCTCCCTCTCACTCTCTCTCTCTGTCTCTCTCAGTGATGTGTGTGTGTGTTTGCTGTAAGGATTAGAAGCAGACAGAAATGGAGAGAACCAAAAAAAAATACAACACAAAACATTTGCCTAACGGTTTTGTCTGGTCCATTGACCATTCTTTGGTTGGCTTCGGGCTTGGAAGGGATAAGGGGGGCTAGCCGCTGCCTCTGGTCAGCGCTGCGTATCTTTAGTTAAATGCCATAAATTGTGCTTAAATTATTGGGGTTGGTTAACGCTTACACACACACTCACACACATATACACACACACACACACACACACTCATACTTATGCACATTGCGTCATTTTCTCTTTCATTTTTGTGTATTTATTTTTTGTGCCTCATTTGTTTCACTTTAATATCCTCTTGACCATTTCACTGCAGTTTCAGCTTGCGTATCTGAGTATTCAAATTAAGGACAGCATAAAATTCATGCATGTGTGTATTAGTACACTGCGGCGAATTTGAGGTTAATCGCGTTAAAAGTTTGCTATTTATCAAGATATTGAGTCGAGGGCTTAAATTGTTTACCTTAGTTAAAGACTTTGAAGTCAGAGTTTGAAATTAATATTAACACTGGAATATTTTAAGTTTTTAGTTATACATATTTAACCATTATTTTAATTCCTTGAATCCATTAAAATGGTATTATAAATTATGCGACACGAGAAAGTATGTACATATTATATATATATATGTATATATTCTTGATTAGCACCAACAGTCGAGTCGATTTTGCCTCAATCGTATCTAAGAAAAACCCCTTCTCAGAGACTATAAGTGCTAGAGGCTTTATATGTATTATATAAGTTATCGTATACCATTTTAATTTCATAAATGCAAAATCGATTTTTGATAGCAATAAGAGACTCAATTATACACAAATAGCCGTCCAATTTATATTAAATTTACCTAGACGCATTATTATTTTAAAAAGCTGTATTCCGAATATCTCGAAACGATTATTTTTGGCAGTATTTTAAGTGTTACAAAAAATCTTTTATGCAAAAATGCACAAATCGCTCCGGTTTCTACTTAACTCTCTCTCGGCTGTCTGAGCCGACAAAAACTCGTTCGCACCCAGTATAGAAGGAATGTTGTGTGAGGGAATTGGACAAATCTCAGACCCTGCTAGACTTTCCGCTTTTGTAGCGCTGGCGTTGCATTGTTTTCTACGAGTTTTATATGTATGTATATGCTCAGAGTGCAGTCCTTTTGCTTCGGCTTCGGCATGGCGTTGAGTCTGTAAAATTTATGTGTCTGCGTGTCAGCAGCCCGCGCATAAAAAATGGCACCAGCATCAAAATCTGTCGGGCATAATCAAGCGAGACAATGCGCCAACAATGCCCATAAAGTGTTTTCAATGTCCCCAACTCCCCGATATCAAGGTAGATTGGTTTGAGTTCGTTGATTAACGCCAGCCATGACCCGTCTCTCCTGCGGAAAAGAATAGAGTATCTTCGGGTCGAACTGTGTTGTGATTGTCATTTAAATATTTGGATTTTATTTAATGTGTGCGTCGATTTTAAAGCCAGCTTAACGCTTAATACACCTATTAAAATAAGCTTTACAATCTTTTAAAAATTAATTGAAAAATGCTTAAATCATTGTTTGCGTCGATGTGGCGAGCATCACATTAATAAATCATTTATTTATTCAGTAATTTTATGAACTGCACATGTTAATGAATTATTCTAATCGTAAATCGCAAAATACTTTTTGTAAAATCAAAATGAATTCACTTTGTTATACAAAACAAATAAATATTTAAAAAGATATTGTATTATACTAACCAAATGCATTGCACCCGTTGATCTAATTATTTAAGTGAGTTATCGATATGTAAAATAACATTGATCAAATAAGGCACGCGAGAATCTACATTCAAATTATCGATAAATCGTATAGTTTTTATGATTGACTCTCTCCGATATCCCTATAGACTTTTCAGTACGGAGAATAGGGTAGATTATTGCTATAAAGTTTAGTTTAGTAACATCAGCAAACCCTTAACTCATTAACAATGTGAAAATATGTATATTGAAATTGGCAGAAGGAAGCATTTGCGATCCTATAAAGTTTATATATTCTGTGTATGGGTAACATGTGTGAGAAGGGCACAGTATAATAAAAACCAGGGATATTTTCACAAGTTGAGTTCTGTATTTAGACTGCATTTAAATTTGGAACCGCTTTTCAGGCTCTATATTTATGCTAACATTTTACCCTCATACCTTTGTCAAAAATTAATCAAATTTTAAAAACCATGGCTTTGTAATCATGGTTTTGACTTCTGGAACAATGCTACATTCAAAGTTGTGAACGCATTTCATTCCCATTATTATGTTTATGTAAACGATTTTTAGGCACGATTTTTATGTTAAATGAAACGCTTATTCAATAATAATCTCTGACCATAATGAAGACCTACCAATTACA